CTCGTGCGTGAGTAGCAACGTGAATGCTTTCTTCACTTGCGATTACTCAAACACGGCCCTAGGTAGCACTCAGAAAGTTTTAGTGCTCAAGCTACTCTGGCTGCAGAGTTACGTCAAATTTCACGTGTTCGTACGTGAGTAGCAACGCGAGTGCTACTCACGTACGTCAAATTTCACGTGTTCGTACGTGAATAGCTCAGTAAGTTTCAGCACTCTAGCTTGTCTGGTTGCGGAGTTACGTCAATTTCACGTGTTCGTGCGTGAGTAGCAACGTGAATGCTTTCTTCAATTCCGATTACTCAAACACGGCCCCAGATAGCACTCAGAAATTTTCAGTACTCAAGCTGCTCTGGTTGCAGAGTTACGTCAAATTTCACGTGTTCGTACGTGAGTACCAACGTGAATGCTTTCTTCACTTGCGATTACTCAAACTCGCTCCTGGGTGACGCTCAGAAAGTTTCAGTACTCCAGTTGCTCCGGTTGCGTCAAATTTCACGTGTAGCACGTGAGTAGCAACATGATTGCTTTCTTCACTTGCGATTACTCAAGCACGGTTCTGGGTAACGCTCAGAAAGTTCCAGCAATCCAGCTGATCTGGTTGCGGAGTTACGTCAAATTTCACGTGTGCACACGTGAAACGTATGTTAGACGTGAAAGTGATGTGTAGGTCGTTTTTGCGTGCATCTGGTCAAAGATTACCGTCGGTTATGCTCAAAAAGTTCAGATCCTCTGGCTGTTTCAGTTCTGAAGTTAAAAAAGCGCATGCGTGAAGTTTTCACGTGTTCGTATTTGAGATGCAGAGAGGCTCGAAAGTTCAATTTACTTTCACAGGCACATCAGTGGACGACAAGTAACGCTGCAAAATTGCAGCTCTCTGCAGCTTACTGGTCAGGTGAACGCTGGAGTTGACATGATGCCAGTTTCAACTTTCACGTGTGCGTACGTGAGACGTAGGGGTGCATGATGGCTGAATTTGAAATCTTTGGATTAGACTCAGCCAAGGAACATCTCTGTGAAGTTCCAGCCTTCTAGCATGGGCCGTTCCCGAAAACGTTTTCCCGCCGAAAAAACTTTCACGTGCTCCTGCGTGAGAACCACGCAGACCTGAGCGTCTATTTTGAGGACACGAGCTCGCACGTATGTATAGATCAAGTCACCAAATTTTCAGCCTTGTAGCTTTTATGGATCACGAGATGAAAACTCGTTACAGACGTACGCACATACACACACACTCAGACAACCCCTCGACAATATGCGTTTTGGCATTGCCTAGCTGCAAAAAAACGCATAAAAACTGTTAAAAACACTAAATTCTTCTAGAAGGAACTTATTTTAACGTCAATTTTCGTTAAATCAGGAAAATGAAATTCGTCAAAATTTTAACTTAAAATTCTTTAGAA